ATGGGGGAATCTCTTGTCCACCCACTTGTGATTATTAACGTTTGTACAATCATTATAATCGAAACTTTTCGTTCTTTTATTATTATCTAAAAATCATAAAAGTCATTCAATTTAGAGATCATTTAGTCATTTATGTGTGTCGAATATAAACAATTTCGTAACAACTACCATTCTCATGACAATGTTTGGACTACACCAGTTGGTTACTATTAGGAGGTTATTCCTTAATATTACAAAAATTATTGTGAGTTGGTTAACCCTAATGAAAGTTCAATGTATAAAGTACTACATTAACAGCGGAACATGTTCATTTTCAGGATGTAGATATTAAAAATGAAAAATCTCAAATCATAACTTAATACAACATAAAATTTATTTCTACATATAAATAACCCAAAGTTGAGATGAAATTTCTGTATTATATATTAGAGGTTTTACAGTATAACATAAGCAGCATTTTGATATTTAAGCCTAAAATAAAAAGGGAAGGAAGGAATTCACAATCGAGATTCGTGGTTGTAAAAAATAGACAATAATCGAAATTTATGTGGATGTACCTTAAAGACAACTAAAAAGAGTTCATTTCACCTTAGGTCTATTTTTTTATTTTGTCAAAGAATAAATATTATTAGATACGAATTAAAATGTTTACATCAGAAGCTAGAGAATTGAACAACTACTCCGGTTCAAAGCAATCCCACATTTGATAGCCTCCCACATGCACGACATAAGATGCCACCTGATGTGTAGCCCATTACAGGCACGGGGAGTGAAAAAAAGCTCAACCGAACTTAATTGCTACTTTAGATGCTGAATATCTCTCAAAGAATACCTTCAATGGCGGCATCCAGTTGCAATACTCCATTTAACATGTCCACCATAACCTTCAAATATGTTTCCAATTGAACTATCCCAAAGCCTTTCTCCACACAAGCCAACAAAGCCGTCCTCATCGCCTCCATCTCTGCCATCAAACTAGACTCACATAGAATGTTTCCCGCACCTCCAGTTCCTTTGAAAATACCAGCAAAATCTCTGGCAACCCATCCAAAGCCAAGCCCCATCACAATTTAATTTAATTGTAAGGTAGGAGTAACCGAAATTGAAGGAAAGATGAGAGAAAATCGGTTATGGTGGTTTGGACATGTGAAACGAAGGCCTACTGCCGCTCTAGTTAGAAGATGCGATTACGGGACAGAGGTTCAAGGTCGAAGGGGTATAGGAAGACCTAGGAAGACTTGGGAAGAGACTATAAGAAAAGACTTAGAATACTTAGATCTAACAGAAGACGTGATACAGAATTGAGCGCGATGATGTTTTAGAATTCATATAGCCGACCCCACTTGGTGGAAAAATGCTTTGTTGTTGTTGTTCATTTGAATTGTTATATTTTGCTTAAGTACAAGCATGGAGATATTAACGAGAGAGGATCCTCGTCGGATCCTCGTCGGATCCTCTTTCTGAGGATCCCAGAGATCCTTAAATCACATTTGTTCATCGTACATCGTGCGATCAGAAATCAAAGTTTTTTTTATTTAAAATTGAATATAAACAGTACTTCACGAAAACTGGCCGCTCGATGTACGATAAACGGATGTGATTTAAGGATCTCCGAAATCTTCACAAAAAGGAACCGGTGAGGGTCCTCACTCTATATTTACGTATGAAATGTAACGGAGGGCAACGTATGGAAGTATATGCATATTAATGATAATTTAATGGAGGGCAACGTATGGACGATCCTCATGGAAAAAACATAGTTATGCTTGGTTGCTAAAAAAAAGTAGCTACTGAAGCTGAAATGAAATCACAAATTAACAAGTGTAAAGATCATAGTTTTCAATTTTAATTATTCAGACATGTGTCTATTTATAATTAATTTTTTAACAGCACTTGCTACTCTTCTTCGAAACATGATTAAAAATAAAAAATATGTTGGGGGTATCCATCATCTATGGGTTTTGTTGTATAATAGGCATTAATATTTTAACAAACAATATTATGTACATTAATGGTAAGGGCAAGCAAAGCCTTACAATGAGCTAGTACTTTTTTAAGGAAAACTAATGAAAAATGCTTCAAATCTTTACATTTTAATCAAAAACCACCCACTAACTTTATTTTAATAATAAGGAAAAAAGACTTAAAAAAAAAAAAAAAAAAAAAAAAAAAAACCTTAACAAAGCCACTTGCTCAAACAGTCAATTTTTTTCTCCTACCTTTTGTCCCATCGTCAGCTACATCATTAGTTTTTTTTTTTTTTTTTTTTTTTCATAGAATAAGAAAAATACTTCGAATTGAATTACATTCTCCTGTTTTATTTTTGTGGTGTTGTTTTCTAATAGTAGTTATGATGACAAAAAACTTTTCAATGTGCCTAGAACACGAGATGATACACTCCATATAGGTTGCGAGAATCTTATGTTAAAAACCACACTTATATAATAACACGTGGTATACCATTTGTGTTATGGGCACAAGGAAAAATTTCTCCAAGATGACACCCAAGCTCAAGAAATTGGATGGAGAGCTATATTTATTATTGTAGGTATATGAAAAAAATGAGGAAATTTTAATTTGGTAATTGAAAATAGCTTTTTAAATATAATTAATGAGAACAAAATCTTCACAAGGATTTGATGTAAAGAGTCACTTCTGGGTTCATCGTTTTCGACGCAATGTGTGCTTTTACAGGACCAAAAAGGCTCTAAATTTCAAACTTTATGAAACTGAACCAAGAATTAAACACTATTTATAAAAGTTCACCAATAAGTAGACACTATTAATGAAACTAGACCAATAAATTGACACTATTTATGAAACAGGACTAATAAGTATACATTATTTATGAAACGAAAACAAGAATTAGGCATTATTTCCAAAATTAAACCAATAGGTGGAAATTATCTATGAAACTGTACAATACACTATTTATGAAACTGGAGTAAAAACTAAACAATATTTATGAAATATGACCAATAACTAGGCACTATTTATGAAAGTTGACCAATAATTAAACACTATTTATGAAATTGAACAAAGAAAAAGATACTATTAATGAAACTGTACCATATACTATTATTTATGAAACTGGACCCAATAAATAGGCATTATTTATGAAACATGATCAAGAACTAGACACTACTCATGAAAGTGGACAAAAAACTAGGCACTATTTATGAAATTGGACCAATAAATAGTATAGTACCGTTTAATTTCATAAATAATGTAGTTTCATAAATAGTTTCATAAACAGTGTACAGGTCATGCGCACGCATTAGATTTTGTTTTTTTTTAAATTGTGTCTTTTTCATCAAAAATTAAGTTTTTTTTGTCCTTTTTATTAAAATTTAAGGGTTTTTCATTAAATTTTGATTCTTTTTCATTAAATAAAGTTATAGCATGATAACTTAGCCCAAGTTCTTTTCATTAAAGTTCTTATTTTTTTATTTTTGAAAAAAAAACGATATTATGTATAACCTCATAATGAGCTAACAATAATGTAATTCAAATTTGCATTTGACGAGAATCGAACAAAAAAGACCTCTTATCTATAAATGAATAGAAACACCATTAAACTGTATTATTAAGTGGCATCAATCTTTTAATTTTAAAATAAAAATAAAAGGACACGAAAAGAACAAAAGAACTGCAAAGACACGCACATGAAAGATATTTGATTCGTATGAAAGAGATTGCGGCGGCTAACTATACCCCGAATCTCGCCACCAATCACTCCTAGACGTGATATATAATATTCAACAAAATAATTGAAAAATAAAAAGAAATTTGAAAGAGTAATATGAAATTAAAGGGTAGGGAGATTAATAAAGCAAGCAAGTAGACAAAGCTCTCAATTATCAGGCAGGACCGTATGTGAGATTTCGAAGGCCTGTGTAAAATTTATAAAATGACTCTTTCTTAAGATAGTTTTAAAAAAAGTAGAACAATATATTAATGTTAGAAAATAATCACTTAAATCAAAACAAACTTTAACACTCATTGATTACAAGTTTACAAATATCATTAATTATAATTAAAAAAACTGCAAACATAATCTTCATTAAATAATCAAAAGTAGTTCAATTTTAAACAACCAAAAATAAAAAGAAAACTTTAAGATTCTAACTTTAAAATTTCACTTGAATATATAATATTATTATATAATAAAGTTGAAAAACTATCGTTTTTTGGGATGTTATTATTGACAATCAGAATATCTCATTGTACTCCATATATTTATATTGAATAATGTTAGAAAGACTAAATTTGTAGACAAAATTTTATAAATTAAACATATGAGTCGATGATTAGATTATTGGATTATTACTTAAACGTTAATATACATGCTCATTTCCTATTAGAGACATTATTTAATTTATAAATTTAATCATCCTAGCATTATCCTTTTATATTAAAAAAAAAAAACTCTTATAAAGAATGCAATGAGATTTTAAATGCTAACAAGAGTCATTTTGTAAATATAGAACATTATTACATAATAATAGATGGCAAAATTTTGGAACCCTTTAAAATTTGAAGCCTGTGCGGATCCTTTTCTACCTAGTCCGGCATCCGGACCATTGAAATTTGATCTAACGTTTACAAACAGAGAATCTTTTTAAAAGTGATAATAACTGTAGCCGTTAGATCAAATTCTAATAGTGCGGATTCCGAACTAGATGAATTTGGTGAAAAGACATCTGAAGAGGATCCCTTTCCGTGCAACTACACATTTCGCTCATCTCCAACGCCCCCTCTATTCTCAGGCCATTTGGTGCGGTGCAGTGCTAATACGAGTACATTTTGCTTCTTGGATTCAGATATATTTAATTATATGTATTATTTATTAAATATTTTCTACCTATCTGCTTGATCATCGATATTCCGGAGATCTATTCCAGGTTAGAACTTCGCTCCCTAAGCATCAACAAGCATGAAAAAAAAACAATAAAGAACGGTTGAGATTTAACTAAACCGCTCATTTGTGAAAAAGGATGTTCGGGAAAGAATCATGCATGCATTCAGGTTGCAGCTAATTACAACAGTGGTCCAACTTGACCAAAGCCATGTATGAACACACAATTTAGTATTGGAGTCACAAAAAGACCCAAAATATATAAACGGCTCGTGTATAAAGTATGAACAGAAAAAAGAAAAAGAAAGAGGGAGTCTATTATTTACATATAATTAAAGAGAAAGAGCAAAGGGAAACAAAAAGTGTCCTCATAATTTAATTATGTTGGTGGTGGTCATGGTTAAAATGGAGGGAGGACAACCCACAGAGCAAGATTTGATGAATTTTAGTGTAATGATTTTGGTTGTTGAGAAAAAGCCTAATCTGAGGAGCAAATCCATGATTCCACCATACCTTCGCTTCGAGGAGTGGTAGTAGTAGCAGCAGCAGTAGTAGATGAAGGTACACTGCCGGCATGAAGTACAATATTCGACGAAGGACCAGCAGCCGAGTAGTTGAGTTTCCCATTGCCGTAATTGCCATTGATAGAACTCATTAGTCTTTGATGATCAACGATATTGTTGCTGTTGTCAATGTTCTTGTTGGACCCTGTTTTGTCAGTACCCCAGCTTGGACCATTACCAGTGTCGTGCCTGGAAAGCGCGGCGTCCGAGGAAGATACGATGTTGTTGGAAAGCGCATTAACATTAACCTGCTGCTGCTGCGGATGAGTCAAACCAAAATGTTGATGAGGAGGACCCCCCAAAGAGCCTGCTTGATGATGATGAGGTGGTGAAGTAACGGACATTAATGGGTATTTAGGACTTTGTTGTTGGGACTGAAAAAGGGATTGGAAATTGAGAACTTGTGAAGAAGATGATGATGATGAAGGGTTTTGGTTTTGCACATTGAGGAGATTGTGATTTGTGGAGGATGAATTAATAGGATCAAGCAATGAAGATGGTGGTTGGTGCGTCACTTTTTGCGCAAAAGGCCTCAAAAGGTATGGAGGAGGAGCGTCCAAACCCAGACCCCCTCCTCCTCCTCCGCCTCCTGCTGATCTCATCAATGAAGAGGCAGCAGCAGCACTGCCAAAAAGGTCCAATCTGCTCCTCGCGAAAGGTGAGGAAGAAGAAAATGGAGGAGCAGGGATACCTGTAAATTCCTGAACCATGGCTCTGAAATTTGTGGTGTCCGTTGTCAGCACCGTCGTTGGTGCTCGCCTCGACGCTCTCGACCTCTTTTTCGGATTCCGCACAACACCGTTGTTGTGGGTTTGGTTGTTGGGAGCTGAAAAAGAGGCGGAAACGTTTTGATTGTCTTGTGGAATCTGAAGCGCCGCAAAAGTAGACGACACGCCTCCTCCTCCGGCGGCGGCTGCGCCGCCTCTGCTTTGTCCTAATTGGTTAATACAGGGACTGGTCAATAAGGGTTGGCTGAGACCGGCTAGATCGGTGGGATTGGGATCGGATCTTAAGGTTTTGGACCACATCATGTCGAAATTGAGGAGCGGATTTGGGTTGGTGAGCCTGGATGATAACGGATCGAACATGTTTGATAGAGGGTCCATTTGTTGGTGGTGGTGATGGTGATGTGGTGGTGGGTTAGACATGGGACCGAGTTGACTCGGTGGGTTACTGAGCACGGCGGAGATTGACTCGGCGCGCGAATCGTACTCGTCATCGCCGCCGCTGGAGGATTGCATACTCCCACTGTTGCCAGAATCCATGCGAGAGAAAGAGAGAGAGAAATGGAAAGACGAACCGGAGGGACAAAGATATGAAGGAGTAGAGAGATATTTGGTTACTTAAAATACAAACTCATTTAAGAAGAGCAAGCTACCAAACAAACAAGGTACAGAGAGAGAGAGAGAGAGAGAGAGGTGAACTAAGCTGTTGAGAAAGTACCACTACAAGCGTACAAGAAGCCATATGGATGCATGCCTGCTGGAATTAATGAAAGCCGAACTGAGATCTGAAAGGAGAGGAGAGGACAAAGCTTGGTAGGTGGTTTGTCCTGGAGCTGCAAAAGGGTATGCCGTGTGCGTGCGTGAACAAGAGAATAATAAAGAACCCAAGGCCACGGATGCAGACACGGATCATGAAAATTGATGGTTGCAGAAAGAGACTGTTGCAGAAAGAACGGAAAGCTATTAGTGTTGTCGGAGATCCAATCCCTTCTTCTTCTTTTTACTATTTTTGGGTTAAAGGTCAATTAGGGTTTGAATATACAGAAGACGAGAGAGAAAGAGAGAGAGAGAGAGAGAGAGAGAGGAACAGGGGTTGTTCTCCAGCCTTTTCCCTTCCCCAAAAGAGAAGCTGCTTCTCTGTTCGAGGTTCCATTCAAAAGATCAAGGTGGGGCAGCCATAACCCATGTCTGAGAGAGAGAGAGAGAGAGAGAGAGAGAGAAGTGGTGGTTTTGATTCACAGTGTGAAACGAAGAAATGGAGATATGAGGTTTAGCAACATGTAAAGAATTATATAATATTTAATTAAGTTAAAATTAAATTAATTTAGTTTTTTTTTTTTGGATATTATGAGGTGGGCAAGCAACCGAATCAGGGATGATGGCTGTTGAATGGTACTATAAAAGGTTCGAGAACCACCATCACCACCGTCACTTTTAAAAAAGAGAGTTTTAACCAAAAGTATGTGGTATTGTTCATTTTAACGAAAAATTACATTTTATACTAAAAAATCAATCATTGTATTATTCACTTTACCCTTTATTTTGTCATTATCGTTAAAACTCAAAGTTTTTAAACTTTTTTCATTAGTTTTCCTTTTAAAAAACCCATTGAAATATTAAAAATAAAAAATAAAAAGCCAAGCAAAATAAATAAAAGTCCAAAGCATTTGAGCTAATTATTGTTATGTCAAAACTCTTTATTTTTTAAATTTTAACAAACAATATTATTTACTTTAATAGAGAGAAAATATATGATTAGTCTCATAATGGATTAATAATAATATAATTCAAATTTATCATTGACAAAAATAAAATCTAACACCTCTCACTTATATATGAAGATGAATACTGCTAAATCATAATATAACATTTCTATTTAGAATATTAATCCCATGGTTAGGTTTAATTATGCCATGGTAAGTTAATAAACTACCTAGTTTCTTTGTTTTTTTTTTATCCAAAATTAAACCATGAGTCTATGATGAATAGATATTTGAAAATAAATATTTTAGAGTAGCAATGTTTGACTAGGTCAACAAATTGACATAAAATATCAGAAAAAATGATCTGGGGTTATTATTGAAGGGAGTGGATTGTCTACCCTCCTATTTCCATATTTGTCTCATTCTTTCCTGTTTTATGTAGTCACAGTTAAGTCACGTCAACATTTTATATTCATATTATTTTTTGTTTTATTATTTTTATAAAAAAATCAATATAAAATATTGACGTGGTTTAACCGTGACCATACAAACAGAACAAGATGAGAAGAGTATGGAAATGGGAGGGCAAACAATCCACCTTCTTATCGAAGAACCTCAGAGAATCTTTCAGTCTTTCTCTGCAGAAAATTTAGATGGAAATAGTGATGTATCTATCTAATCTACCTGCTGGAATCCTATTTGTACTTAGGTTAACAATTTAACACTACTTTTATACTCTTCCGCTTTCTATTTTCCGGAAAGGGATAATCCACCTAGTCTAGAATCCAGCGATTATAAATAGGGAGTTCTTTAAAAGTGATAATAACGGTAGCCGTTAGATCAAATTTTAATGATTCGAATTCCGGACTAGATGTCTTAGGAAGATTAGGAAGATTAGGTGGAAAGGAATCCGGGAATCCCTTTTCCTATTTTCCTTAATGCCAGAACACTGTTTGCAAGAAAGAAGAAAATAAATCAATATATCTTTGTTCGGATAGATCAGTTCAACAACATCTTAGGTTCGCTGCAACCATCAAAACTAATAAAGAACCAAGAAATGTTAAATCCCATATAGCGTCCACATGAAATAAGATATAACCATACTTAATTATAATTAAATATAACACAACTTGGGTTGTAGACATATAACGTTATTATCGTTCTTTCACGTCATATTATTATACTCCTTTATACATGTTTTTTCTCCTTGTGTTGTATTTGTTTTTAGAACAAAAGTGTGATAACGTATTTTTGTCATCAGTTTATGTCTATTTACAATATATTTTCGTCTGTCTTTATTTTCATTTTTAGCTAATGAGTCAGCCTATATTTGCATTATGGGGTAGGAAAACAAATTAGTTGTGAACTCATTATTTTTTAGATTCAAACATAACACCTCTCATTTATCAGTGAAGAGGAATACCAATAAACTAATGATTCCTTGTAATGTATTATATATGAGAAATTTTTATTTGGACTCATCTAATTTACCATTACACCCAATTGAACAATTTTATTCACCAAATTATCAAATTTACCTTTAATAAATAAGAAAATAAAAAGGAGAAATTAGGTTCACATCCTTCTTTTTGCTACTCCATTGATTAAAATTCTATTCATGTTCAATTTTTTATCAAGGTCCTTGGTAATAACATCATTAATTATTTGAATAATAAAATATTTTTATTTTAAAATATATTCCTTTAGTGTTAAAAATGTTACAATTAGTATATTTATATTTATGGCTAAATTTTTATCATATATTTTTATTTTTAGTTTGTACCAATTTTTTTTTCATTTTTAATTTGTACCCATATATTAGTTTCTTTTTGTGCCCATATTTTTTAAAGTTTTATTTGTGTTTGTACCCATGTGTATACCGTCACGTGACATTGTATATTTAATCAATGATAGAAAAATTACATATGGTATATTTATGTTTTATGCCTAAACTTTGTATCATATATTTATATTTTTAGTTTGTACCCACTTTTAATTTGCAACATTTTTTTAAATTTGTAGTATTTTCTTTTTAGTTTTATTTTGTACCCATGTATTAATTTCTTTTAGCGCCTATATTTTTTAAAAATTCATTTGTACTCATAATTTTTTAATCTTTTATATGTACCCTAATTTATTTATAATGTACCCATTCTTCTTTATTAATGTACCACTTTGTTATATGTGAAATGTACCAATTTTTTTAACACTATGGATACATTCTTTTAACTCCGCCGTGTAAGTTTATCTTACATTGCCGGTCCCAAGCCCGGATAAAGGAGGAGGGGGAGGGCGTCAGGTAGTCGACAGCCGGCACTCCATGATCACGTCGAATCCTTATGAAAATGAATCCAGAACGAAATCGCGCTAAAGCTAAGGCGTCACCCGTAAGTGGCGCGCTGTGTGGCCTGAGCACAGTGATAAGTGAGCAAGGGTCGCTGTATCTCCATCGGCACCCGGATACAGTGTTAAATGAGCAAGGGGGCTATAGAAACTTCTTTTCGAACGACTCCACTCAAAGTTGTTTGGGAGCATATGCTCCTATCAACTTTACACGGGACACACAAAAGAAGTACTTTGATAAGCTAGAGCAAGGGAAAAGAAGACAAAGGACCTAAACCAAGTGAGGTGCATCAAGGATGAGGATGGAAAGGTTCTTGCTACAGAGAACGCGGTTAAAGACAGATGGAAAGGTTATTTTCATAATCTTTTCAATGAAGGACATGAAAGGAGTGCTTCTTTAGGGGAGTTGAGTAACTCAGAAGAGTGTAGAAACTACTCTTTTTATCGTAGAATCCGGAAGGAAGAAGTGGGTGTAGCTTTGAAGAAGATGAAGCATAGAAAAGCAGTAGGCCCAGACGATATACCAATCGAAGTGTGGAAAGTTTTGGGAGAGACAGGTATAACATGGCTCACTGACCTTTTCAATAGGATTTTGAAAACGAAGAAGATGCCGAATGAGTGGCGAATGAGCACTTTGGTGCCTATCTACAAGAATAAGGTCGATGTACAAAATTGCATGAACTATAGGGGAATTAAGCTAATGAGTCATACAATGAAGCTCTGGGAGAGAGTCATTGAGCATAGAGATTGAGGCAAGAGACACGGGTTTCGGACAACCAATTCGGGTTCATGCCAGGGCGCGCACCATGGAGGCAATCTATCTCTTACGAAGATTGATGGAAAGATATAGAGATGGGAAAAAGGATTTACACATGGTCTTTATAGATTTGGAAAAAGCGTATGATAGGGTCCCAAGAGACATTCTTTGGAGGATTTTAGAGAAGAAAGGAGTACGAGTAGCATATATCCAAGCTATACAGGATATGTATGAAGGAGCAAAGACTGCCGTAAGAACTCATGAAGGACAAACCGAAAGCTTTCCCATAACTGTAGGATTACATCAAGGCTCATCCTTAAGTCCTTACCTTTTTGCGTTGGTGGTAATGGATGAGTTAACAGGACATATTCAAGGTGATATTCCTTGGTGTATGCTTTTCGCAGACGATATAGTGTTGATAGATGAAACTCAGGAAGGGTTAAATGCAAAGCTTAACCTTTGGAGAGAAGTGTTTTGGAATCTAAAGGTCTTCGCCTAAGCCGATCAAAGACAGAATATATGGAGTGCAAGTTCAGTGCAAATGGAGGCCAAAACGAGTTAGGGGTGAGGATCGGAGATCAAGAAATACCAAAGAGCGACCGTTTTCGTTACCTAGGATCTATCTTGCAAAAAGAACGGAGAATTAGATGGAGATCTCAACCATAGAATACAAGCTGGATGGATGAAGTGGAAGAGTGCATCCGGCGTATTGTGTGACCGCCGTATGCCACTGAAGCTCAAGGGAAAATTTTATAGGACGGCAATAAGGCCGGCGATGCTGTATGGCACAGAATGTTGGGCGGTGAAGCATCAACACGTACACAAAATGGGTGTAGCGGAGATGAGGATGCTTCGTTGGATGTGTGGGCACACGAGAAAGGATAAGATTAGGAATGAGGATATCCGGGGTAAAGTAGGAGTAGCCGAAATTGAAGGAAAGATGAGAGAAAATCGGTTACGGTGGTTTGGACATGTGCAAAGAATGCCCTACTGACGCTCCGATTAGAAGATGCGACTATGGGACAGAGGTTCAGGGCCGAAGGGGCAGAGGAAGACCTAGGAAAACTTTGGAAGAGACCCTAAGAAAAGACTTAGAGTACTTGGATCTAACGGAGGACATGACACAGGACAGAACACAATGGCGTTCTAAGATTCATATAGCCGATCCCACTCAGTGACTTGGATTTTCCAAGTCTCCAACCGAGAAGTTTTCCTCACTCGGGAAATTAAGGGAACACTACCTCAACCTATATGCTCCACTCACAAAGCTTCAACATACAAGCTTCAACAAAAGAAAATTCAAAGAACTTAGCGAATAAGGCTTTGGTGTATTTAACACAATACGTTGAAATGAAGGAAAGCTTATTTATTGATATCCCCGATAAGTTACAAATATGTACATATACTTGAGTCAAAAAATAAACAAA